CCGGCCCTCAGCTGACTCACGGGCCTGTCGGGAAAACGCACGATGGCCGAGCCTCACGCGGCCTTGGCAGCGGGGCCTGCCCTGGAGACTCTGCCCCGAGGGGCCTCAGGTCTGAAGAGCCTCGTGAGCTTGCGGCCCTGCGCCTTGGCCATGTCCTCCCTGCCCGAGGAGACTGCTACTCTCGCGCAAGAGCCTGCAATAGCGTTGCCGCCGAGATGACGGCGGGCGTCGACGATGCCGGCGCTGTTGGGGCCTCAGCCATCCTACTACATGAACCTCGATCTTGAGCGCCGCGAAGGTGGCCAGCGCCTTCCGTCTCTTCTTGCTGACGGGGAGGCTGACCTCGGCGAGCTTGGAGTTGGGCGCTCGGCATGCAGCGGCCAACTGCGCGGCCGCCACGCGGCGCGAGCCTGCCGCGCGGCCGACGCGTCGCCCGCCAGCGCGAAGGCCCTGGCCACCAGGGCCGCCAAGGTTGCTGCTCGCAGCGCCGAGAGGAGCAGCAGCTTGGCCAAGGCGGCAGCAGAGGAACAGCCAGAGACCACCGCGCCGTCGACCGCGATGACGCGGCTGAGGGCGGCGCCGATTCGCGCGCGGCGCGGCGCCAGGCGGGCGCAGCTCCGTGCCTTCAGCAAGCCCTCGTCAACTTTCCTGGCCTCGCCCGCGATGCGCAGCTCATCGCGGCCGATGTGCTTGCATTACATGGAGAGGTCCTCGTAGAGAGAGAGAGAGAGAGAGAGAGAGAGAGAGAGAGAGAGAGAGAGAGAGAGAGAGAGAGAGAGAGAGAGAGAGCCAGCCTCCATGAGAGTCTCCTTGGCGCGGGCAAAGCGCGCGTCGTGGACCCGGGAGGCTCCGTCGCGGCCCCTGTCCGAAGATGTGCCCCAGAACGGCTGCTGGTCTATGGCGCACCCCCGGCGGGGGCGCTCTGTCTGCCTGATGCGCGACCAGAGCCTGGCCACCACGGGCATCAGGCAAATTGGCCGTTGGCCTCCGTCTGGTTTCGGCCAGAGGACCATCGCCGCCGCCCAGAGCTCGTCGCAGCGCGGCGACCTCTCTCAGGCGCCCAGGGTGTCCGCCAGCTCCAGCAGCAGCTTCGGGTGAAAGTTGCCCTGGCCAAGGCCCGCCCGCTTCTTGAATGGCTTCGCCGCGTTCTGGGCATTTGCAATGGCCGCGGGCGGGAGCGCCCAGACAGCCCCCCGCCGCGCGGGGCGCCAGCGCCCGGCGCGGGCTGGATTGGCCCACTGGGGCAGCCAGTCGCCGAGCACCTTGGCCAGCGCCGCCTGGCCCACAGGCGCCGCGGGCCTCTCGCGGCCGTCGCCCGGCACCGCCGCGGGCTCCGAGCGGGCGTTCTCGATGACCTCGCGGGCCAGCGAACCCGACCTCTTGGAGGCTTCCTCCGCGCAGGTCCCCCACCGGGCCTTGCTGCCGTGGATGTCAGCTTTGGCATCCTGCTCGATGGCGATCTGCATCGCGGTCAAGAAGGCGGCCCCCGAGGCGAGATCCCCTGCCAGATGGGCTCGAGCTTGCCGTCGTTAAACACGTCGACGCCTTCGGCCTGAAGGCGACGACATGGCCCCAGCGGCGTTGGGCCAGCTGGCGCAGTGAGAGCCTGCATTGCGTGATGGGCGAGGCTCTGCCCGTTCGGTTGGCCCGTTGCTCCGCCCCCAGGGGGGTCTGGATGGCGCGGGGGGCCCTGAGTCGGCGAGCCCACGCAGCGAAACCAAGACTGCCTCGGCCTGGCCCAGCCAGGTGCCCACCGCCGCGCAGGCGTCTACGCCGCCACTGCTCGGCCATAGCATGGCCTGAATGTCTGAGTTCCTCCGGCGCAGCGCGCCGTCGTCAGCCTTGAAGTCAGGGCCGAAGACCTGCGGGATGCGCTGGGCCTGGACCACCCCCAGCAAGCTAGCCGGGTCAAGGTGGCCACCGCGCGCGGGCCTGGCGGCGCGTCGAGGTGGGCCCCCACTGCCTGGGCCAACGTCTCGAGCTCCGTGGAGACCAGAACGTAGTCGCACTCCTTGTCGTCGCGTCTGGCCATGCCAGAGCCCGCCACTAAAGCCCCCAGACGTTCTGGCCTTGCTGGACGTTGGAGCCCACTGGCCTCGACGTTGCAGCCGCCGCCAATGATGAAAGGCACCTCCACGTGAGCACACCCGGATTAATAATCAGGAAACGCGCCCAGGTTGGCCCCTTCGAGGCCGGCCCCGCCCTGCAGGTGGAGCGACGCGATGGCGATCGCGGCGCCCTTTCCCAGCGAGATGCGCCCAAGAACCACGCGGTGCTGGAGGCCGCGCCGCGCTGCGAACGGCTGGGCCGAACCCTGGGGGCGGCCGGAGATGACGTCGACGGCCTAGGACACAGCGCGAGCAGCGCCCCCCGCGCGCGGGGCCCCAACGCACGACAGATGGGGGGCGGCCCCGTCCACCCACCCGTGGGCCTGGCCCTCGGCGACGTCGCTGGCAAACCGCGCCTCCTGGATGAGCATCGCGCGCGAGGCCATGCCTGTGCGCAACAGCTGCCCGCAGGTGCTGGCCGCCACGCCCCAAATAATCCCGTTGGAGGTCGCGAAGAACAGGGGCCCTCGGAGGCGGCCCCGCGCTGGAACAGGTTGACGAGAGGCGCCTCGGGACGAGCTCGACCAGAGAGGGCCTCTGCACGTCGGCGGAGGCGACCGTCGACGCCGGCGCAATGAGGCCCCGTGACGGACCGCTGGTGGCCAGCAGCCCCGTGCCCCACAGAGTGCCCCAGAGGAGCAGATGGTCTTCTGAGGAGGCCGCGCAGCGGCCAGCGTCAGCCCCCAGGACGGCCCACATCGGGGCCACGCCTCACCCCCGCCTGCTCGATTGCGGCAGCTGCGGGCTGTGTTCCTGGCCAAGGCCCTGGGTTCGGAAAAAATCTGACCCCGACGGGGGGTCGTGGCGACTCGGCGCGGCGGTGAGCCCAGCCGCATGGGCCAAAAGAGGGGCACTGTGCAGCTCGGGAGGCGTCGAGGCCTGCTGTCGTCGCGCTGCGCGTCCCAGTAGCCAGTGGTTCCTCCGCGTAGTTGGCGAACCGGCTGCAGAGCCAGCCAGGGGTGGAAGGCTCGCTGATGGGGCCGAACCATCCGACCGCCACCGATTCGGGACGAGCGTCTCCTCTTCCACTCCGACCTCTCCTGGTTGAACCTGTGGCCCATGCTGGCAGAGGCGGAGAATGTTCCTGCATCCGCCGCCTGACCTCGGCCAAATCGCCAAGCTTGGTGATGAGCCCGTGCTACCATGTCACTACGCCATAGCCACGTAGGTTTTCCAGTTGATGGATCAGCCTCTTCCTGCCATCAAACCCTCTGGCCCATTCTGCGGTGCAGATCTGCTGGGCCAAGCGGAATCAGTCCTGGTCGAAACCGTCGTAGAAGGGCGCGAAGATGGGGATCGCGAGGTGGCTGAACACGCACGGAGCGCATGCCGCCATTCAGACCTCTCACTGACAGCCTCCGAGGATCGCAACCCATTGTCAGCCCCAGCGGCCGAACCTCCGAACTACCCTATGCCTCTCTGCGAGCGCGTGTTCGTAATCCTCTACAGGACCCATCCACTGCGTGCCGGGGCTGTTCCTCAAGAGGCCGAGGGGGGCGACGGTCATGCCATCGTATGGCGGCTGTACGGATCTACTGCACGTTCTGGGTCCTCGTGCTCTTGGCCTCGTAGTCGCGCTCATGTGGGCGGTCGAGCTCTTGCTGTTGGCTCTGTCGGCTGCGCCAACAACCTTGTCAAGCCTTGTCGCACATGCGTATTGCTGCCTCCATATGCTTTGTCGTAGAGGGAAGGGTAGGCGCGCAGGACGGCAAAAAGGTGTATGGCACGCACCAGTGCCTGAAGTAGAGCTCAGCCGGCCATGGGGGCATGAGGTTGTTGTTAAGCCCTCGCCGCAGTATGCGGCTGAGCAGCAGCGCGTCTACGGGCCATACGCCCTTGCAGAATGCCATGGGGTTCGTCGCGTAGAATTACAGGTGGTGGTCCCAGGTAAAAAGAGCAGCCACTGCGGTCTAGCAGGCGGAATAGCCAATGGGTGGGATAAATTCCATCGCTCTCCTCCCAACAATGCCCGTCATGACCAACAGGGCTTACGTCACCAAAAGGGCCACTGGAGAACTCGATGGGACTTAAAGATCCATCTTCTGACTAATAGATGTGCTGCACGGTGTTACTTGCGCTCTGGGGGGAGGAGGAGGAGGATGAGGAGAAGGAGGAGGAGGAGGACGAAGAGGATGAGGAGGAGGAAGAGGAAAATGATGAGGAGGATGAGGACCACCGTAAACCCAAGACGCATCAACGATGTTGCAAAACAATCCTCCCTCTGAGCTCCCTCTCCCAATGCCCATACAAGGTTCATTTCCACTGAGGGAAGTGCCTCGTTGGGAAACAACCATCTGAAGACCCTGAAGCATGTCAAAACGCCATTCACGGAAGTCCAACGCCACGGTTTAACCTGACTGCTACGTCGACGAGCCTGAATCGTACCGAAACATAACTCCTAGGACTTCAACACCGCGAATCAACTGAACTGTTGCACTTTCACAATCATGAATCCCGACTGTGCGCGGCGCTAAGGCTAAAACCACAGCTTGAAAACCAAACGCCCTCAATCCGTGGCGCTCTATCAAATTTATAATACGACTGCACGCAGCGCTAAGGCGAGAGCACATCTTGAAAACCGCTCGCTCTCAATGCGAGAAGCTCTTGCAACATTTTAAAAAGGAATGAACGCGGCCCTAAGGCGAGAGCCACATTTTGAAAACCACCCCTCCATTTGTGAAACTGTTGACATTGTTCAAGTTTCAGCGTCATTAATGGGGAGGAAGTCTCAGGCGAAACGCCCGGCCCGCCCTTTACAACCGGTCTCGGGGCGCGACAGGGCAGAATCATTGTTAAGGAAAACGAATGGAGAGGAGGAGGATGGGGAGGGGGAGGAGGAGGAGGAGGAGGAGGAGGAGGAGGAGGAGGAGGAGGAGGAGAAGGACGAGGTGCAGGGGGGGAAGGAGGAGGGGGGAGGATGGATCGGAAGCGAGAAGCGCTCACGGCAAGCGCACGGGGAGGACGGCGGCGCGGGCGCGGCACTCGGCCCGCCCCCTGGGGCGCCGCCAGCTGCAGCGCAGGGGCGGCGCCCTACTGGCAGCAGAACGGCCAGCCCGCCGAGGGCCCGATGGCCCGCTCGACACCCTCGTCGAGCACCTCCAGGACTAGGAAAATCGGGCACGCACTACTCAGAGGAGGAACAGGCACCCATACTTTGACCCGTGCCTCGTCTTCGCCTGTTTGGGCCTCGTTGGAGGCCCTCGTCGCCACGACTGGGTTCGCCTTCAGTTCCTGGCTAGAACGCACCCTGGAAGGGGTCAGGGGAGAAGCAGTATTGGTAACCCTTGCTTCGGATGACCGCGGGGCTCTCTAAGTGGAAAGACGTGCTAGAAGTGGATGACAAGGTGGCTTACAGATGGCCCAACATGGCCTGTCCAGGCAAACTGGGCTCCGCCCACGTAGCGGAGTGAGCGAACCCACCCAAGCCACTCGGGGCACTCGTAGCCCACGCATATATCTAGGTTAGGGCAGCTATCGCCCACCCTAGCATCCACTAAGAACCCCCTAGCACTTGGCAGCCCCCGCGGTGATTCAAGTAACCCCCGTCAGCACAAACCCGGGGCGGTCGGGGCCACGTCGCGAAGCCTGGTCGGCTGCCTCGCAGCTCCCACACCCGGGCCAGCGGAAAGCGGACAGTGAGAGCCGGCCCTACGCGGCTCCCGAACGTCGGCTACATCCAAGAGTGACCTTGGGCAAGATCGACCTTTGGTGCGCGGACTAACGGGGCGCAAGGTGGCCAAATCCAAGCGCTCGAGCAGCCGCTATCGCATCGCGCTCAGCGATACGGGGTACCCCGATGAGCCCGCACCGAAGGTCACTCTGGCGAAGTGTCACTCTTGCGTCGAGCCGAACACTCGGGTACGCCGGATTGGATGGGCTGACTCCCGTGAGCGCTGACCCCCGTTGCGTGAGCCCCGAGAGAAAGATGTGCCCCTCGCGGATTTCTCCGACCTGTGCCAGACCCCCCTACCCTGGCGGCGCCTCCGCCGCCGCCCCTCGCGCGCGGAGCGCGCCAGAACGAGAGCGGGGGCCAGCGCCGGTTCAAGAACTCCGCGCGGACATTCGAGAGTTCAAGGTCGGGAAATTTTGCTCCGCGTGTCGCGGCAGCGGCCCCGCCGTGCCATGCGAGTGGATAGCGTGCCGCTCCGCTCTGCGGGGCGGGAGGTGAGGAAAGGATGCGGACGTTGACGCTTGGGGACCGGGACGTGGACAGCGCGTCGCGCCGAGGCGTGGTGGGCAGAGACTGGCAGGGCGAAACGTTAAGCCCAAAACTCTTGACCGTATGCGTATGCCGGCTTTTCTAAAGTTAGAAAAATTTTCTAACTTTTTTAGAAAAGGTAGAAAAGTTTAGAAAATTAGTTGTTATGCGTTTGTTTTAAACAAACGCATAACAAACTTTTTTGGCGCTCCGCGACGCTTCCTTGGATCCGCGCCGGACCCCCTCCCTGGCGCGCGGAGCACGCCAGGGGCGGCGCAGGAGGCGAGACCAGGGCGGCCCGGCTCGTCTCCCAGAAATCCGAGCGGAGCGCCAAAAGTTTCTGTTTATGCCGCGCTCTGTTTCTCCAGAACCCCGACGCCACGATTTTTTCAGCATGCGACCCCCAGAGGTCCGGACCTATTCGCCGGGACCGGTTTTTCATCCCGAGTCGGCTTTTGACGGCCCCGAGGGCCGTTAAGGGCCCCGAGAGGCCGAAAATCTGGAAAAACCTTCCGTCGTGATTTTGTCATGACTGGAGGGGGTCTGGGCCTCTGGCACAGCCGGCATACTCACACGGTCAGGAGCTCTGGCTCAACGGTGCCGGCACCGCTGCTCCAGGCGCGCAGGCTGGTGCAACGCGCGGCCACCGTGGGCCCGCCCCTACCACGAGAGCCCCAAGCTGATCTCAGGCTGCTCACCCGGCACCTCGAGGGCCACATCCCAGGAAGAGTCTCGAGCGCCCAGAAAAAAAAAGTATCGAAACGGTGCCGGACGAGTTTGGCCTCCCAGGGCCCGACGCGTGATGCTCGAAACTCTCTGTGGCGGTGAAGGCGAAAGTACCTTCAGAAGAAGAACAAAAACACATAAACATAAACATTTGGCGCTCCACGCGGATTTCTTGGATCCGCGCTGGACCCCCCCTCCCTGGCGCGCGGAGCGCGTCAGGGGCGGCGCTGGAGGCGCCGCCAGGGGGGTCCCAGCGCGGATCCAAGAAATCCGGGCGGAGCGCCAAAAGTTTTGCTTATGTGTGTTCTTCTTCGAAGGGTGGAACATCATAACCCTATTTTTCTTATACGTTGTTCTCCTTCGGGCCTCCGCCTGCGCGGCCGGCACGAAGGCGGTGCACTGGCGCCCCGCGCACCGCACCCTGGCGGCCCCGGTCGCCTCCTCGGCCCCGTCCTCCTGCAGGGCAGCACACAAAAGTCTGCGGCACGCCGCCGTGCTGGAGGTCACCAGAGCCTTGCTCTGAGACGCACGGAGACATACCAACAATTACTAGATGTCCTCCTCGGAGGCGCGCTTCCGACCCGAACATATGGTCGGAGGTGAGATGGTGAGATCGAAGTGGAACGGAGGGCCCCCCTACCGGGAAATCGGTTTCGGTCTCGTGTTCGTGCGTGCCGTGCGTGCGGGCGAGGCGAAGCTGCGTGGGCGGGCGAGAAGAAAATCTCCTCCAGCTGAGGCGCGGCTGGACCAAATGATTCCTTTCCGGAGGCCGGAGGCCCGCGGTGTTCCGCCGGTGTCCCGCCTCCGGCTGAGGCGCGGCCGGACCAAATGATTCCTTTCCGAGGGCCGGTGACCCGCGGTGTCCGGCCGGTGTCCCGTCGGTGTCCCGATGAAGATGATGATGATGATGATGATGATGATGATGATGATGATGATGATGATGATGATGACGACGACGGTGATGATGAAGATGATGATGATGATGATGATGATGATGTCGATGATGTTGATGATGAGATTGATGGTGATGATTGTGATGATGATGGTGTCCCGATGATGATGATGATGATGATGATGATGATGATGATGATGATGATGATGATCATGATGATGATGATGATGATGTTGATGATGATGATGTTGACGATGTTGATGGTGATGATGGTGTCCCGATGATGATGTTGATGATGCTGATGCACATGATGATGTTGGTAATGATAAGATGATGAGGACAGAATGATGATGAAGATGATGATGATGATGATGGCGTCCTGGTAATGATAATGATGGTGATGACGATGATGATGATGATGATGAGATTGATGGTGATGCTGTTGATGATGATGGTGGTGATGATGATGGTGTCCCGATGATGATGTGGTTGATGACGATGATGACGATGATGGTGACCCGATGATGGTGATGATGTTGACGATGCTGCTGATGATGATGATGATGATGATAATGATTTTGATGATGGTGGCCCGATGATGGTGATGATGATGTCGATGATGATGATGAGGATGGTGTCCCGATGATGGTGATGATGATGGTGATCATGATCATGGTTTCGATGATGATGGTGCCCCGATGATGATCATGATGATGTTGCTGATGATGACGGTGTCCTGGTGATGATGATGTTGATGATGTTGTTCATGATGATGATGAGATGATAATGATGGTGACGGTGATGTTCCGATGATGATGATGATGGTGTCTCGAAGTTGATGGTGATGATGATGATGGTGACAATGATGGTGTCCCGATGGTGATGATGGTGGTGATGCTATTGATGATGATGGTGATGGGGTGATGATGATGATGGTGTCCCTATGATAAATATGATGATGATGATCTTGATGACGCTGATGACGATGATGTTGATGATGATGATGACGATGATGATGATGATGACGTTGATTGTGAGATCGATTGTGATATCGATAGTGAGATCGATAGTGAGACCGAATGTGAGATCGATTGTGAGATCGATTGTGAGATCGATTGTGAGATCGATAGTGAGATCGATTGTGAGAGCAATAGTCAGATCGATTGCGAGATCGATCGAATGAATTAGATCGAGTGAGATCGATTGTGAGATCGATCGAGTGAGATCGATCGAGCGAGACCGATAGTGAGATCGATAGTGAGACCGATCGAGTGAGACGTTGGTTCCTCCCCCCCAGGACCTCCTTATCACCCGAAGGGTGGTCGTATAGGTACACCCATCTCATAGTATATCGTTTCCCGGGCGGTGTGGCCAGAAAGCGCGCGCTACGACGCATATACTTCAAGAGTTCTCGGTGCGCGCGGCGCCCCTGGAGGGGCGACACACATGTAGTATCAGTATGTTGGGGTGACGACGATACTCCACGAGCGTGAGGTCGGGCATGTCCTCCTGCAGGCAGATGTTCTAAGAAAATTGAAAATACTGCTAGATAGAAGGCAGATCACGAGAGATCGTTCCCAAACAGTGTCCTCACTGTTCCGGAAGATTCCTCCTGCAGAGGGGCATGCCCGACCTAAGCCTTACTCCACGAGCGATAGGTCGGGCATGTCCTCCGACAGGAGGATGTTCGAAGAAAGCCGTACTCATGTATGTCCAAGAAAGTACACAGAGAGGGGCACGAAGGATCGCTCCCAGACTGTCTCGTTACTGTTCTTGGAGATTCCTCCTGTAGAGGGACACGCCCGCCTTTGAGCCTTGCTCTGGCGGTGGACAAACCTCTCTTTAGCAGGCCACCCTCTAGTGAAAACAACCTAAAACCGAAGCCGACGGACCTGGACCCGCAAAAAGGACGGCCGCGACGCCCTCTCGCGAATTGAGAACGGCCAATTCGCTCATCGACGTGTCAGGGCCGATTGCTCCACGAGCGGCGAACAGATCCGCATCCGCGCCCTCGCAGTCTGGACTCCGCGAGGCGCGCTCCCGCGAGGCGCGGCCGCACGGGTGCGCCCCGCGCAGGGGCGCCCGCGCAAAAAACGCGCCCCGTGCCCGCGGGGCCGCGGCCCGCGAGGCCGCGGCTACAGTTAGGTCGGGCATGTCTGAGGGGGCCCAGGGACACACAAATAGATGCACACACAAATCCCAGGATTCCTTAATTTTCCCCATATTTTCTGGGTTTTCGTCTTCCCCCCCACTTCCCATATTTTCCTGTATTTTCTGGGGAGTCGACGATGAAGTGTGTCTGTGTGTTTTTTCTCTCCTGAATGTCCTCTTGCAATGGGACTTGGCACGAACAAGTGGAAATAGTCACACAAACAAAAACTTCAAGATGGCGATGGTCACAAAAATCGCCCCAGGCTATGTTTTGACCCTTTTTGAATCTGCCTCCTGTAGGGGGACATGCCCGACTCAAGGCCACAGGGATCCTGTCCGCCCACGACAGGCCTCGAAGGGACACCACCGCGTCGAACGAATAAGAAAGGATGAGCACGCCGACGGGCCCCCAACAGCCGCGCATCACCGATGCTCGCTTCTCCCCCCGCCGACCTCCGAGTCGGCCGCCGCCGCCGCCGCCGAGGCCGCCAGCGCGTCGAGCAACTGCTCCTTGGTGACGACGCCCGTGGCCTTCCTGCCACGGCGCTTCGGGGCGGCCAGGATCGTCGGGAGCTCCCGCGCCTCCTGCTCGGCGTGGAAGCGCACGTTCTGCTGGCGCGCCGGGTCAGAGTGCTCCCCTGCGCTGTCCTCGTCGTGGCAGGACGAGAAGGAGAGGAGGAGGAGGAGGAGGAGGAGGAGGAGGAGGAGGAGGAGGAGGAGGAGGAGGAGGAGGAAGGGAGGAGGAGGAGGAGGAGGAGGAGGAGGGGGAAAGGAGGAGGAGGAGGAGGAAGACCAGGAGGAGGAGGAGGACGACGAGGAGGATGAGGAGGAGATCAGGGCCTCGACCAACTGCTCCCTCGTGGCGACCCCCGTGGATTTCCTGCCCACCGGTTCCAGAAGCGGCCTCGCGTAGCCAGGCTCTCGGGCGCTCTGCGGGGCCGCCATCTTGACCCTCTTGCCCGGCGCCACTGGGGCCTTCCCGGGACAGTCGCCCTGCGCGTCGTCGCCCTCGCTGTCGTCGTCCGCCTCCTGCTGCAGCTTCGCCAGCAGCTGCTGCTTGGTGGGAGCCCCCGTGGCCTTCCTGTCCACCCTCTTTGGGGCCAGCTGGGGCACGCTGGACTCGCTAGCGGCCTCCGACACAACGATCGTGACCCTCTTACCGTGGGTATCTGCGGCACGGTTGGAGCCGTCGTCGCCCTCGCTGTCGTCGTCGTCCTCCTGCTGCAGCTTCGCCAGCAGCTGCTCTTTGGTGGGGACGCCTGTGGCCTTCCTGCCCTTCCTCTGTGGGGCCAGCTGGGGCCCGCCAGACTCGCCTGCGGCCTCCGGCACCACGATCGTCACCCTCTTACCGTGAGTATCTGCGGCGTGGTCGCCTGGCGCGTCGTCGCCGTCGCTGTCGTCATCCTCCTGCAGCAAACTCGCCAGCAGCTGCTGCTTGGTGGGAACGCCTGTGGCCTTCCTGCCCACCCTCTTTGGGGCCAGCTGGGGCACGCTGGACTCGCTAGCGGCCTCCGACGCCACGATCGTGACCCTCTTACCATGGGTATCTGCGGCACGGTTGGAGCCGTCGTCGCCCTCGCTGTCGTCGTCCGCCTCCTGCTGCAGCTTCGCCAGCAGCTGCTGCTTGGTGGGGACGCCGGTGGCCTTCCTGCTGTTCCGCTGTGGGGCCAGCTGGGGCAGGCTGGACTCGCTAGCGGCCTCCGACACCACGATCGTGACCCTCTTACTGCGAGTATCTGCGGCGTGGTCGCCCTGCGCGTTGTCGCCCTCGCTGTCGTCGTCCGCCTCCTGCTGCAGCTTCGCCAGCAGCTGCTGCTTGGTGGGGACGCCGGTGGCCTTCCTGCCCTTCCTCTGTGGGACCAGCTGGGACCCGCCGGACTCGCCTGCGGCCTCCGGCCCCACGATCGTCACCCTCTTACTGTGAGTATCTGCGGCACGGTTGGAGCCGTCGTCGCCGCCGCTGTCGTCGTCGTCCTCCTGCTGCAGCTTCGCCAGCAGCTGCTGCTTGGTGGGGACGCCTGTGGCCTTCCTGCCCTTCCTCTTTGGGGCCAGCAGTGGCACGCTGGACTCGCCTGCGCGCTCCGGCACCACGATCGTCACCCTCTTACCGTGCGAATCGGCGGCGTGGTCGGAGCTGTAGCCCTGCGCGTCGTCGCCCTCGCTGTCGTCGTCGTCCTCCTGCTGCAGCTTCGCCAGCAGCTGCTGCTTGGTGGGGACGCCGGTGGCCTTCCTGCCCCTACGTTTTGAGGGGCCGACAACCTCGGCTGGCTGGTTCGCATCACCGTCGGGCGCTCGCGTGCCGAACTTCACGCTGGTGTCGAACTTCACGCTCTTCCGCTCCCCCTCCACTGGGCTGGCCTGGCCCGCGCGCGCGCGGACCCCCTGGCAGGCGCCCATCGCGCTGCTGGCGAAGAGGAGTTCCTCTGCAATCTCGGGGGGCTCTGGTCGGCAAGCGTCGGGGCCAGCTTCTTGGGACAAAAGGTCGACTGCATACATATTCATCACATCCCCCCATCCCCCCAACCCCGCTGTTCCTCCTCATCAGCATCCCTCCGCCCTTTCCGCCTACCCGTGCTCCCCACCTCCTGTGCTCCACCTCCTCCTCCTCCTCCTGCTCCTCCTCCTCCTCTGGCGGGCTGGGCTGCAGCGCAAGTGCGACTCCCAGATAGCGTGCGCAGCCCCACCCTTGCCCTCGAACACCAGATGTGTTGGATTCGCATGCGTATCTTTAGATCGTCTCTTGACGCAATGGAGGCCGAAGATCAGGTCCGTGAGTCCAAACAGTCTAGTCATAGGATGGGCAGGCATAGACGTGGGGGTAGGAGTGGTCGCCGTGGACCTCGTGGCGAGAGCCAGGTTGAAGGAGCCGCCATCCCTCCTGGTTTTGGGCCCCCCCGTCTTGGTGCCGCCGCTGCCGCCGCCGGCTGACAGTATGGTCTCGTTTGTCGGATCCAGCCACCAGCTCGACGAGACTGGTCGTCGGTGTCCTCGTTGCCGTGGATCCGCTTCGATTTCTCTGACGCGAGCCTGGAGGCAGTCCAGTTGTTTCAACCCTGTGATATTGGATGACGTGTTTTGTGGGCTTCCTGGGGGTGCGAGAGTACACATTGCTGGGGGGTGGGTCGACCCCTCCCACACCATGCGGTTGCATCAGACCCTGAATATCTAGTTCTGCGCGTGCTGTGGTATGTATTGGGATCAGCAGCTTTTGTGCCTGGGGAAGGGGTGCACGAATCAGGTCACCCCAACCCGTGCCGAGTATTTGAATCGTCTCGAGCGGGGGCTATTCCGTAAGGTCTTTAGTAAGGCATAGCTCATGCGTAAGGCTGGGGCGCATAAGGGGTACCCATGAGAGATGCATTGACTTCGTCCTGGAGCTCCTGATTTCCTGAACTCCTCATGCTCCTCCTCCTCCTCCTCCTCCTCCTCCTCCTCCTCCTCTTGATCCTCATCCTCATCCTCATCCTCATCCTCATCAGCATCAGCATCAGCATCAGCAGCATCAGCATCAGCAGCATCAGCATCAGCATCAGCATCAGCATCATCATCATCATCATCATCATCATCATCATCATCATCATCATCATCATCATCATCAGCATCAGCATCAGCATCATCATCAACATCAACATCAACATCAACATCATCATCATCATCATCATCATCATCATCATCATCATCATCATCAGCAGCATCAGCATCAGCATCAGCATCAGCATCAGCATCAGCATCATCATCATCAGCCTCAGCATCAGCAGCATCAGCATCAGCATCAACATCAGCATCAGCATCAGCATCAGCATCAGTATCAGCATCAGCATCAGCATCAGCATCAGCATCATCATCAGCATCATCAGCATCACATCATCATCATCATCATCATCATCATCATCATCATCATCATCATCATCATCATCATCATCATCATCATCATCATCATCATCATCATCATCATCATCATCATTATCTGCCGTTTCTTCATCCTCTTCCGCGTCCCACCTTTTCCTCACCCACTACCCACCCTCCCCCCCACACCCCTCACTGACGTATCAGCGCGAAAATGCACTTTCCACGTCGGCGCCGCTCCCAGGGGCGACGGCGGGGAGCGCGATGGTGTCGGGCCCCATCGGGGGCCCGAAATCGGGCCAAAATCTGCGCTAGCGCCCAGCACCACCTCCAACACCCAGAAAACAGTTGAGAACGGCACGTACTCTCAATTCCGTAATCGGGGGGGGGGGTCTGATACCCGCCAGGCGGGCCTTCTCACCCCCCCCAAACTAGCCATGAAAGGGCGAACTGTTGACCAGACCCCCCCGAATCCTCCAAGACAGCTCAAATCAGGCCCCACCCGAATGTGACCCACCCCACTTTATTATGGAATCCGGGGTAGACATTCCCAAGATCGCCCCTGAGGCTGGGGGGGGAGATCGGAGTGGAACGGGGGAAATCGGTTTTGACTTCGTTGCGTGCGAGGCGAAGCTGCATACGGCACCCCTAAACATGAAACAACTGCAACACATCACAGAACCGGTCCGAACACAGCGCGAACGGGAACCCCACAACGAAACAAAACACGGGCACCGAAACGTAAGCAAAAAACACGTCGCTCACGAGAACGACCAACAAAAACATGCCCCCAGCGCCTTTTACATTATCAGAGGGCGACGAGATGGACGCAGGGGACGACGAGACGCGAAGGCGGCGGGAAGCGCATCCTCGCCTTCTCGTCGTTGTCGTCCTCGTCCTCGTCCTCGTCTTCGTCGTCGTCGTCGTCGTCGTCGTCGTCGTCGTCGTCATCGTTGTCGTCGTCGTCCTCGTCGTCGTCGTCGTCGTCGTCGTCGTCGTCGTCGTCGTCGTCGTCCCGAGGACGACGGCAACGGACGGGGCGCCAGGCCCCGCCCCGGCGGCCTCGGGCTCCGCCGGCGGAGCCTCCGCCGCCGTCGCCTCCTCGGCCTCCGCCGCGGGCTCCTGGGCGAGGGGGCCGGAGGCGGGAACCGAGCTGCGCGCGCTCGCGAAAGGCCTGACCCCCATGCGGTCGGGGATTCTCGGGGATGGCGTGTCACCACGACGGCCTCGGCGGCACGCCATTCCCTGGCCAGCGGACAGCATCAGCATCATAAGTATCAGCAGCATCAGCATCGTCGTCATCATCATCATCATCATCATCATCAAAATCATTAACATCATCATCATCATCATCATCAGCAGCAGCAGCATCATCTTCGTCAGCATCAGCAGCAGCAGCATTATCATCTTCGTCAGCATCAGCATCATCAGCATCATCATCATCACCATCATCAGCATTCGCATCATCATCATGATCGTCGTCGTCGTCATCATCATCATCATCATCATCATCATCATCATGGTCGCCATCAGCATCATCATCAGCATCAGCATCAGCATCATCATCATGAGCATTGCAAGCATCATCATCATCGTCATCATCATCATCATCTTCATCTTCATCTTCATCATCATCGGCATAAGCATCATCATCAGCATCGTAACCAGCATCAGCATCATCATCGTTAGCATCAGTATCATTATCATGACTACCATCATCATCATCACCATCACCATCAGCGTCATCATCGTCATCATCAACGTAAGCATCACCATCACCATCATCACCATCATCACCAGCATCAGCATCAGCATCAGCATCAGCATCATCATCATCATCATCATCATCATTTGCATTATCATCTGCGTCATCAGCACCATCATCACCTGCATCATCATCATCATCATCACCAGCATCAGCAGCAGCATCAACCGCATCATCAGGAGCAGCATCATCAACATCAGCATTAGTATCAGCACCATCATCATCATGATAACCATCACCATTATTAGCATCATCGTTATCATCATCATCACCACCAACATCATCACCAGCAGCATGATCATCATCAGCAGCATGATCAGCATCATCAGCATCATCCTCATCATCATCCTCACATTATCATCATCAGCAGCGGCAGCAACATCGTCATCATCCTCATCATAACCGTCTTCGTCGTCGTCGATCCTCTTCCTCCTCCTCCTCCTCCTCCTCCTCCTCCTCTTCCTCCTCCTCCCCCTCGCTCCTCGCGCTTCCCCTGTCCCCGCGGAGGCCCGCCGCCGCAGCCCCCCCCGCGGCCCCGCCTCGCGCTCGGGGCCGTCCTGCCACCTCTCGTTCCTGCCGCCCCTCCACGGACTCTATCGTGTGGTCTCGTCGTCGTCCTTCTCTTGCCCCTCTTGCCACGGGGTTCCTCTCCGCTGGTGAGAGCAGTGCGCGTCGATCGTCGTACAAAGTCCCCCCCACGACTCCGACCCGTCGTCTTCTTTTTCGTCGTCTCTCTGTCGCATTGGGAAGGATGTCTCCGCTGCGGTGGTTCCAGCCACGTTGCTGCTGACGTTTCCGCGGGCGTGATCTTGTATATTGCGGCGCCATGGCATTCCCGTCACAAGCTTGGGCATTTTCCGCTGGGCACGTCAGAAAATGAATATCATATGTTCGCGAGTGTCATGAAGGGCCCCCGTACATGGTTAGGGAACAAAGCGAGGATATTCACAATATGGGGGGCCTTGCGGACTGACTGACTGACTGACTGGCGCGCCCATGGCCCAACGAGTTCCCCAAACCAGACTAATGTCACATTGGGTGTACATGCCCATGAGATCCTGATCGGACACGAGCGTTGATTGGCGAAAGCATCTCTATGGCCAAAAGGGCATGGGGATCACGGGTGGCCATTTGGGTAAAGCCCGGAAAGATCTATATAGGGGAAAAAGAAGAAAGAATAAGGAACGGATGTGGAAAAGGGAAGGGAGGACAGGATGAGCAAGGAGATGGAGGAGGGAGAGGAGGAGGAGGAGGAGGAGGAGGAGGAGGAGGAGGAGGAGGAGGGGGAGGAGGAGGAGGACATGCCGTGGAGGAGGCGGAGGAGAGGGAGGAGGAGGAGGAGGAGGAGGAGGAGGAGGAGGAGGCGGCGGACGGAGGCGGAGGGGGAAGGAGGGAACGAGGAGACGCGAGGAGGACACGGCGGCGAAGGAGACGCAGGAGTGGGCAGAACGGGAGGGCGGGGCAACGGGGAGGCTGGGCAGTGGTGCGGCGCGGCCCGGGGACGCGAGCCCGCGGTCTGGGCGAGGCCGACCCTCGAGCTACCAGAGCGGAAGGGCACGGGAGGCGCGAGGGGGGAGGGGGGGTGAGAGGGATGAGCGAGCAAGACAGCCACTCAGCATGCACCCACCCTCTGTGGAATGGCGCCTGCACAGGGCACTTGGCCGCAGGACACTCCACAGAGACGCGTGCGCCTTGAGGGTCACGCACAGAGAAGTGAGAGAAGAGGACAACTGCGGGTGTTCCCACCAGCCTGGCCTGAGACATCTTCCACAGGGGGGGAGGGGCAGGGGGCAGCAAGTAAATCTGGCCAGGAGAGACTCGGCCAGGCGGAACTCGGCCAGCGCCGAGCTCGGCCGGCCCAGCTCGGCCAGGCGGAG